TTTTTTTTACATAATAAATATAAAAATACTATGTAAATTATACTATCTAAATAATGTAAGGAAACAATGCTCACCATAGAATTTTGAAAACAGGCTGAATGCAATAAAAAGGAGAATAAGCAATCCAGCTCCAGCTGCGAAGTAGAACCAGGGGTTTGACTCATTGATTCCTACAAACAAAAAAAATACAGTTATAATGTAATAGTTTCGGAATCACACAGTTTTGACCAATAACCATCTGCAAAGTGTCTATATACAAATGTTATTGTAGATTATTTCTGCACACGCGCTAGAAATACTATACAAAAGTGCTTTTGAACATCTCCAAAGTTACTGCCTGGCATGCTGTCACACTACATAGGTTAAGTTGTCGCATGGAACATGCTTGCATATTTCTGCGGAAAAAAATGCAACAGTTGTCAAAAGTCATGAAGCCGCGAGAATGTTAAATGTAACAAAATATTTAAACCATTGATTTGTAAAATATATTTTATACATTTGTCTGAATGTATGCTAGTGCAGTTGTGACAATAAGACCCCTGATCTTACTGTGCGGACGTTCATTGATCTTCACCATCCAGCATTCACTGTTCAACCGACATGTGTAGGTGCCAATGTCTGAAGACTGCAGATCATGGATGAGGATGGAGAAGTTTCCATGTTTAGATAGAAGTGGAAAAACATTCACTCGTCCTTCACTAGGACTGTGAAAGAAGATTCTGCCATTAATCCTGATCGTTACGAGACTGGAATAGTGGTTCCAATTCACACTCTCGGTTTCATTGTGATGGCTTATATTAAAGTGACATGGGAGAAAGACTTCAGATTTCAGAGAAGCGTTCACAGTGACCTCTGTGCATCTTGTATTCCCGTGGTACTGAGCTAAAATGAAGGGGCATCAAAATATAAGTGATTCAGTATGATATCACACATGCACACATTTTAATCTTTTAAGATTCATTTACTACCAAACATTCCATACCATATATACCATACATAATGTTAAAGAAATGTCTGGTTTGTTAATTTTAAACACAACAATGTAAAATAAATAAATGTATGAAAAATTCTGAACTGCTGACATGGAGACAATATTACATTATTCTTTTGCATTATTTTATTACAGTTTTTCTGAATTGCTAAAACACATTTCTTGAAACCA